CCAAACTATGGATGAAGCAAAACATGCAACACAAAATAAGGACAGTCTCTCTCACACTCTGAACAAAACATTAGGCACTCTCGAGTTGTGTCCGCCTACAAACGGCTTCTCCAACCAACACGAGTCACAAAAGCATTTCACGTGCATAAGCTCAGTGACAAATAATGCAGTCCTTTACGACGTTCAGTTTGAAAAGGTCTTAAGAAAACAAACTAGTGGTGGGAGAAAAAAATGATGAGGAAAGTAGTAGGAAAAGTGAGAACTGAGGCATCTACTTACCACCAATTCGCTTTGACATAACCGGTGCTTGAGCTGGCATCTTGTTTCCACAGAAGTGTTCGCGTGAATGGGACGTAAGCTAGACCGCGGGGTGAGCCCTAATGATCCGAACCCTGCTGCCTCGACTCTAAAAGAGGCCTGCTCTTCCCCCCCATTGGTTGGATTCGAGTGTGCACGCACCCACGCACGCACTCACGCACTCATGTCGTGCTGAGGCGTTATTAGACCCGGAAGAAATCGACGTTGCCGTAGTAATCCAATTACTTTGCCTCAAGCATCCATGGGCGTGTGAGTGTCGCCTTCTCAAACAATGGGCCAAAGCACAAGGGGTAATTGGAAGAGGACGTGCGGGGCTAGGCAAACGCCATAGTGGGGCGCGCACGCCGGAGGGATGGTGATAATTAGGCGTGTGCTAAAAGGCACCAAGGAACCGGATGTCAGAATTTGGTTTAATTAAATAAATAAGACGCTGGCGAGCCAAATGCCTCGTGCAAAACCATTTTAAAGGGAGAGGGAGGGGGATTAATTAAAAATGGGCTCAATCCAATAGCCACCTAGTGGAGACACCCTCAGAATCTGATAGCAAATGGATATTTGTCATTTCATTAGAGAATATTACGTCAACGTAGCATGATGCAGTTCACCACAGAGGCATAGATGAGTGTGAGATTTTGCAACCCGACCTTAGTAAGGTAAACGCGCACACCCCCGGTTACAGGCCTTTGAAGTAGGGTTTTGAAGGAGAAACAGAGAAGCGGGAAATAGCATAAAGAGAACCTACCAGACGCCCGGCATTACTTACGTCCTATAAATTCCTAAGTACTCCAATTCTATACAATCTCCTTTGCTACTAAAAAACCCAAGACACTTTACGCCACTCAAGATGAATGGGCATCCATCTAGGTATGCCATAGTTTAGACCCACTTTCTTTTATCCTCATTATCCACTGTAAACCTCGTCTCTTGGATCTCAATAGATTCATAACAAAACTTATACTACCGCAGTGGAAACCATCACGTTATTGGACCGGCCGGCCAGTTAGAATTACTGCTTTCAAAACCCATCAAGCACCAATAACGTCGTGGTAACTACCACCATGAGAACCTAACTTGGATTCGTTGCGTACACAATCAGCATTACTTGGGAGAACACAATCATCACCACACCAAATCGCCATCTACAAGAAGCAGCAATTTGGAGCCGCGACAACTCAAACTTACCTCCCTTTCTATTAATTAATAAAACGAAATCATTCAATAGGTTTTATTTTTTGTGAAGCTGAACTCATTAGACGATTGAAGAATTGGAAGATTAAAATGAAATAGCGCGTTGTAGGACCACTGAGTCAGAATTAATTAGTGCATGGAAGAAAGTAAATAGGTGAATAGTCCATAAATGGCGAACTTCATTGAAAACACTCAAATTATATTCTTCTTTAAAACTCTGAATCCATCCACACAAGTAATAGTACTGGTATTGTAATTAAAAGGCGTCACACATGATTGATGGTGTTATCTTTAAGTACATCTTCATTTTGCCGATTAGCTGTCAAATGCTTGCATATATCGAACACCATTTGCAAACCCTCGGACCTTATGTTTGGTCAAAAAGATGAAGGCGTGTTGACGTTAGCAAGATCATCTCAAAGACTTTCGGTGTACGCAAATAGTTGAGAGGGGTAGCTCTTAAGCAGACTAGTCCAGCTTGCAGCTTCCTCGGGTTATGCAACTTTTTTACTTCCAAAAGTTTCAAGTTCAATGCTATGTAGAACACTTATATTTCATATTAGGCCTTAAAATGGTCTTAATTGCTTATGCAATTCAGCACATTTATTATGCGGGTTATGGCGTATTTTGCTAACGCAAGATTGTTTCACTTTACGGCTGGTGTCACAGGCACGAATGAAGCCGCCAAATGTATTGAAGAGGTTTCCTTTTTTTACCTAATTAGATGTGAGTTAAGTTCCCTTTTTTAAAATCTTTGATTAAACCCATTTTCGGTCCCGCAGAAAAGCGGATACATCAACCGGTCTGGGCCTTTGGAATGAAAGAGAATTTTCCTCTTGACTTCACTAAAAGCAAATTGAATACTCGAAGCTACTCCACGCCGATATAAATGTGTTACCTCAAATGGCTTGATTGGAAATAAACTAATCACGATGACAATTCCAAAACTTACTGGAATGACAATTACCCCAGTCTAATTATCAATCCAAAGCAAGCTAACTCTGGTTATTACGCACTCCGATTTGCGAAATCAACGAAACTATAGGCACTTGCAGAAGCTCCCTTCTTCCCTATTCTATGACCATTGAGGAATTTTGGCAGACTCTGCAGAGCCTTTCTGTGATACAATTTTCGGAGGAGATAAAAGTCATAAATTTTGAGATTTTTGGATCAATTTCCAGCCCAGGAAAAGAGCACCTAGTTGCGTTAACCAATAGAAGCGCCGGATGAAGAGGCAAGTGAGAGGGCTAGTGAAAATGGAGTGTATCCTTGAGATTTCACTAATTAAGTTGGTTCTTATTCACTCTGTTATTGCCGGATGATAATTGAATCTAGGCAGAGGTGTGAACAAATTCTACCACAGGCTAACCTTATAAAGGTGGTAGTTGGTTAACTCGTGATTTGATAAAAAAGAAAAAACTAGTAATCATCCATCCTACAGAGCATGTGGCTGATAAATGGCTTTTTAATTGTTGCCTTCATTTGAACTTCTAATCAAATCACTGTAAACTGCCATATACGCCGGGAAATATGTGCTGCTGAGCCAAGGTTTATGACCAAAGTTTTCCGGTTTTCTTTGTTCTTCGAAAGCAACTTTTCTTTCCTTGCTTTCTTCAAGTTTGTTTGGTAAGACCAAAGTATCCGCAAAAGGTGAATGATATGCTGCTTTGTTTCAGCCTTTGAAAAGGTTTTTGTATTTGCTTTGCGGTTGGACACGCCTAATCAGACAGCAACGATGCGTTCTGTCACGCGTCATCTTTGACAGTTCCTCCACTTATAGCGCATGATGGACGTTTCAATAATGTCACAGGATTAGAAATTGGGGAAAATTTTGGCTGCATAAGTGTCATAGACACAGAGTAGAGCTGACTAATGGACTCTTAGTTCACTTTTGACCGGTAAATAACTAAAATAGTGTGGACTTAGTTTTTGTGCGGGTCACAGTATTTCGTCAGCACAATTTAAGGACTCCTCACCAACTCATTGACATTACTGAAAAGAGACTACTAATTTTGTGCGAAACATATGGTAATGCCTTAAGTATGGGAATCCAAAACCTTACCCAAATCGCCTTTTGACATTGTCCCTTTAGATCGTCGAACCACTTAACAGCCGCAAAAGGGCTTCGTTTTAATGACCGGTAGTCTTTCATTTTGTTCAATCCGATTTATTCGCACATATGTGCAAATACTAGACTGATTGACTTTGGAAACAATCGACAATTTAAAGCGAGTCTTTTTCTCCTTGTAGAATGTAATGACAGAATTCATCACGTCTCCTCACCCTCAGGTCGTGGTTGTTCGCCTTGGTTGTGAGCTTTACACTCCTCTTGAACTTGTTGAATGATTCCTGCAAAGACACTAGCATCAACGAGAGGTTCGTAGTAGTTGCAAATTTTTTGAGCCTCCTCCTCAGGGGTCATTGGCCTACTCTCGACATTGTACGTGGGCCACTTTCTGCGAACACAGCAACAGGTAAGCCTTGAGCTCTCCTCTCGGTCTTCTGTTTCTACCGGCGTTGCCATATTCACGTTGACGTCACCTGTCGCATAGACATCAGTGAATTGGCTTTGCCCAGCACCCATGACCTCGCCTCCTATCACAGAGACTCAACGGCTTGTACGTGTGCTTGCGGAGGTTTCACACGTGGTACGATCAATAACACGGATTGTCGGTGGCACTTGTTGGAGTCTCCCATCGTTCCTGAATGCAATGGTGTTTCCTTCCAATGCATCCAATAAAGAAGGTGACTCATCTGTCTGACGAAAGAGGCAAATACAACTTTTAATCTTGATAAGTTAAAAGTTTAACTATCTCCACTGTTTGATGATTTGGCTTAATTGGAGGACTGCCGTGATGCTTTCGCCTGACTTCTAAACTGCTAATGATGATGTACATGATCCATGTGTTTAACAACACTGGCACCCAACACTACTGTG